TCTTTCTTTTTTTTGCCATCTTCAGTTCATTCCCTCCTCACATGGCTTCTTTGCTTTTAGGTTAGTATGGTGTGACACTGCTGTTTTTTTGGACATGATATTATTATGACAGGGACTTTTGCAGTGGAAACTATGCTGCAGTGCTGTTTTCACGATACATGGTCATCAGATAAAGCATTACCAGACATAGCGACTTGGACTTTAATGTTGTGGCAAGGTACTAAAATTGGTTTTATATAAGATATTGAACTTCTACAAGTCTATGAGATTCATTATATAAAACAATTTCATGTATGGGCTTACAGTATTATGTATGTACTTTTGATGTTATTTCAAAACAAGGAGCAGTTTCTAAAAGTAAAAACTTTTTCAGTATATTATTTGAAGAGAAACATTAAAAAAATATGAACTATAAAACCTGAGTATAACATATGTCTAGTTGTTCATGTGGTTAATGAACTTATCAGATAAGGAGAGTGTAGTAATTCTATTACAGGCCATCACCAAACCTTCTTAAATAGAGCAGACTATTATAATACATTTTCAATTTTTTTGTGAATAAGCTAGAAAATATTTTTCTTATCTTTTTTTTTTAGTCTGTGTTGTTTGTAATTTATATGCTTATAAAACTACAGAACTTTTAGCTGAAATGAGCCTTGTAAATGGTGCAAAATTATATTAATTTTATTTAACACACTATGGTTATGCAGTTAAAATAATTCTGTATATTTTATAGTTCATGTGAGACTTTCTTCGTTTTAGGTATAGTAGGAGATATGGACAAATCAGACAACAGTTACTATATATGGACTCATAAAAAGTTTGACATTGGTTACAATGATGATCATATAGTTGATGTAAACTTGACTAGTGAAGCAAAAGTCAAGCTAGAACTAGGAAAGAAAATTACATTTTCTTATGAGGTAAATCTCCGTAAACATTTTTGTTTGGCTTATTTATTGTGCAACACAAACTATTTCTTTGCAATTTAAAGTAACTGTATGAATGAAGGCAGTTTTTAATAGATATTAATCTTAGAAAAAATCCTTATTGAAGTTATGAAATACTACAAATAAAATTTGTTGCTAAAACAGGTGTTTGAAGTGAACATTATTTTTGTAGCTTCTGATAAAAATGTTTGTTATTGTGTAAGTGGTTAAACATGATAAATATTTTTGACCTCAACATTTTAAAATCTGATTGTGAGATTGATCTGTAAAAATGTAATTTCATACAGTGCTTTTATCTAATTTCACATTCTTGATACCTAAATGCGCATGCATGTAGTTTTATTCCATAACGACAATAATTTCATACATCGATATAATAAGATAATGTGGATTTTTTCTTTTTCACCAATACACTTTACCTAAAATTCTGAATTTTGTGTAAGGTGCCACTGACTCAAAAAAGCACTCCAAACTAAAATTCATAAGAAAGGCATTACTAACTAAATGAAATAGTTAATATGTATGTATTTTGATAACATTTTGTGTGTGTATGTATGGAAATTCTAAACAAAATTTGGCATATAGCACAGCATATATTGTGGTATATTTTAAATAGAAAGATGTATAACTATTTATACTAGATGTAATTGAAAAACTAGACAGTTTGAGTCATGTTATTGCTTTGAAAGAGTACGAATGTGTGCTTACAAATGCAAACCATCTCTAGTCTCTATTTTTCTGTTATTTTTCATTTTGTTTATCTTTTAGAGATACACAAGTGTAGTGTTTTTTTAAGCATCTATTTTGGATTAGTTTTCTGTTTCCTTGACTTTTTTAACATTCGCTCACACAGTGCTGAGTAATCCTTTTTTGATTATATTTTTCTAAGTGAAGGTGAACCGTTATCCTTTATACCCAACTATTCATTTCTTTACTATTACAAAAATAAAAACTTGTATTGGCATGTTATACTCTCTTTTATCAGAGTTTTCATTGACATTTTAGGTAAGAGTTGGACGATATTTACTTGACAAAATAGTGTTATGTCATTTGAACTGTGCTTGTAAGCCATAATGTCTATATTTATAGAATGTAGTGTCCACTTTTTTGTTTTATAATCCAAAAATATCAACATCATCCACATTAATGAACATAGCGTTAAAGGGTTGATTATCCCTCCTCCATAAAACACTCAAGAAATTATTTTTAAAGTGTTACTTGCTCCTGTTACTTGGCTTTTTAAAAAAAACGAAAATTTGTTAGACAATAATTGTTTTATCATTATCAGCCTGAGTCTGATACATTGTTTTATCCTGAAGTCTGAAGAGGTTGAACAGTATGTGTCATATGTATTCTGTGAATTGAATAGCTTCATGTAAATCAATATTGTTCATAATGTATCCTCAAAACTAAAATACCATTTATGAAAAAAAAAAGATTTTGAATGGGAAGATGTTTTATGAAAAATTTAAAACACAGTGTTAGACACTGTGTTAAGATCTGAATTAGTGAAATTTATTTCTTAAGATGTGGCAGCTGTTTTACTGCTAATGTTAACATAAAATATTTATGAAGATCTGTTACTGGTACAATCCTCAAGTAATAGGCAAATGCAAATTTTTATTTGTCTGTTAATAAATTCCTCTCAAATGTACAGATTAAAAATTTGGATGCATAATAAAAAGTCATTAGACATTTATTGTGTCAGAAACAATATAGCTCCTTTCATGGCATAATTAACCTGGCTTCACACATTTGTATATCTTGTATGTATGTTACATCAAGAAGAAATAACATTATAAAACAAAATTTCTTGTTAATAATTATTAAAAATTTTTATGCAGGTTGTTTGGATACCATCAAGTGTAAAATTTGAAGACAGATTTGATAAGTATCTTGATCCATCATTTTTCCAGCACAGGGTAAGGAGAGCTTTGATACGTTATTAACATAAACATTCTTTAGATCCAGCACAAGGTAAGGAGAGCTTTGATACATTATTAACATAAACATTCTTTAGATCCAGCACAAGGTAAGGAGAGCTTTGATACATTATTAACATAAACATTCTTTAGATCCAGCACAAGGTAAGGAGAGCTTTGATACGTTATTAACATAAACATTCTTTAGATCCAGCACAGGGTAAGAAGAGCTTTGATACATTATACACATTCTGTAGATCCAGCACAGGGTAAGGAGAGCTTTGATACATTATACACATTCTGTAGATCCAGCACAGGGTAAGGAGAGCTTTGATACATTATACACATTCTGTAGATCCAGCACAGGGTAAGGAGAGCTTTGTTACATTATACACATTTTGTAGATTCAGATTTGTATTTTCTGTATGTATATATATATTTCTCTCTCTCTCTCCTTCTTTAATATAGATATGAATGCAGTCATAATAAATGGTATTATTTAGGAAGTGGGGAGCATCATCTACTGGTTTGTTTGCCAGGCTGTTAGTCGAGAGGTCCAGTGTTAAAGCTATTATATGTCACTGAAGGTTCCCCACACTCTGAGCTGTGGACTGACTATAATTTTAACAGTCAGTCCCACTATTTGTTTAAGAGTGATCACATAAATAATGGTGGTGTTGAATGACTACCCTCTCATAAATCAGCTGTTCTAGAACAAGTCAGGAATGGCTATTCCTGAACATTAGGGGATGGTCTCTGAATTGACCACCAGCCCATGTGTTGTATGATGTTTAAGTTGAGAATATAAGTAACAGTTAAAAGATTCTGGAATAAAATTAATTTATTTTAATAATATGAGTTTTGTTGCTGTTTTTGTTAATATGTGGTATTCTCAGATTGCTCTGATTTTCTTCAGAGTAATTGGAACAACAGAAGTTTTTTTTGGATATTATGTTACAGAGCAGTGCCTAGATTTTCTCTGCCTCTAACTAAGTCTTTACATATAAAAAAGAGACTGGACACAGGGCTTTAAACAGTCACAATACCTACTATACAAAAGCAATTAAAGTCAAGTTTACATTAATGATTAGACAAATGCTTATATATGGGTAGACCTGAGTGAGAGACCTTTATTTATGCTTTCTCAGTGAGTTACCTCTAGCTCTATTATGCTAAAGTTTAAGCTTTGCTGAACACAATCTATATGTTTGAAGAATCTATGTCTCAAACGAAGAAGTAAAATCTCAGTAACTGTAATTTCTGAATCTTAAGTTTCTAAGAATGCTTGCAAAAAATCCCTCATCCATTCTGTAAGTCTGGTTGAATTCCCTGAGAATCCTAGTAAACTTGCATAAACAAAGGAAAAACGTAATGATACACAAAAAGTTCTCTCTCTCTCTCTCCAGGTACACATGCCATCCATGTGACTCTCATGTCAACAAGGGGTGGAACATACTCAATAGAACAGACCACTGCTTATATTTTTAGCATTTTTTTTCATGTTACAGTAATCTTTTCTAAAGGAAAAACACAGGCAACAACCTTGGTGATGACTCAGGCAGTCCTGTTAATAACCAAGACAAGAGAAATAATTCCCTTGACCACTGTTTTATGTTAAGAATAAACCCTGAAACACACTGAAAAATTTAAAAAATTTATTTCAAAGTTATGAAGTAAAATATGCATCATATGCCCACATATCTCAATACACAATACTCTATCCATATATTTTGTTTGACATAATGACTTGACAAAAAAGCCTCATGTTTTCTGTTTCTACACCAATTAGTATCATATTAAATTTGTCTGGAAGGGAAAAAAAAGATTTTTGGGAAATTAACCTAAAAATCTATGTTACATTCAAAACAGGTTAGCTGGGTAAATACTATAGCTAATTGATCCATGAGACTTGGAATGTCAAAAAACCTCAAACTTCTTCAAAAATCAAAATTACACATCAATCATTTTGTAAAGTACAGTATTTTGTGACTATGTTGTATTTTTTTGTCTAATATTAAATGCACTGCACAAAATTTAGGTTTATACTTTTTATGGATAATATTGATGGTATTATATGTGTGTGTGTCTCTGTATTACATGTACCACGAGGGTATTGTTTAAGGATTTGATTTGATTGTCTCTATAGTGACAATGTGTTAATTTCACAATAAGTAGTATGTGATATTATTAGAATGATGCTAACTCAAAAGGAAAATGTATTTCAGATAACTGCTTAACAAAAATTAAAATTTCAGCTAATTTCAAGGAAATTAAAAAAACAAAAACATTAAAAATTTGTTTTGTGAAATGCATAGTACAGAATAATTATTTGTTAACTTCATTTAAAATAATAGATCCATTGGTTTTCCATCTTCAACTCCTTCATGATGGTCATCTTTTTGGTGGGCTTGGTCAGTATGATTTTGACGAGGACATTACGTAAGGACTATGCCCGATACAGTAAAGATGAAGAACGAGATGATATGGTATCACAAAGATGATGCAGTTTTTCAATTGCTGTACTTAAGGAACAAAATGAAGATTTTCTGTTATGCATGATTTCATTTTGAAGAAAGAAGTTTGGTTTAAAAAATAATATTTTTCATACCACTAAAATCACAAGTTTAATATCTTAAGTATTTTAGGGACTTGCAGCTATATGCTATGACTCTACCTGGATTTATGTTATTTGATATGGTTCAGGAAACTTAAAAATATTACTGAATTATGTTTCTATTATCTTCTTCATCTCAATTAAATGATGTTTATATTAGCCTCTTCATCTCAATAAATATTAATGAATGATGTTTCTATTAACCTCTTCATCTCAATAAATAGTACTAAATGACTTCTGGGTATGTTATATCTACCAAAACTAATTACATTTTCACAGAAGTTTTTTTTTTCAAAGTTTCCCACATTATCAGTTCTAGATGAAACATTTTTTTTTGGTAACACATGTAGCTTTTTCTTCGTTTATGTGTTTGTAAATAGTTGAAACCTCTATTATTAATTTCATTGTAATTTTATCATCATATATTATATTGTTGTTGGTATATTGTTTTTTACCAGAGAAAAATATACTTTTAACTGTCTTAACCCTGAGGATACTTATGATTCATCTTTTATTATGCACATCTTTTAAATAAATGTACACAATTTTTAAACATAATTACATGTACAATGTATTACTAATTAGAATATTGCTCAGACTTGTGTTATATTAGAGAAAGGCAACTATCAATAACTTTCCAATAAATATACATTTAAATGTTAGCGATTCTAAGGTAGACATATTTTGTGTGTGAAATGTGAAAATTTCCTAAAATATTTCTCTATTTACCTCTGAATAAGTCAGTTACTTTCATGACAATACTGTAGATATACGTGTTTGCAAGTAACCAAACTTTCATCTAACAAATGTTGAAATGTATTAAAAAGTTGTACATACTTTTTTATAGTGATAACTTAATATAATTTAGTTTAAATTTCTTGTTGCAGCTAATTTCTAGAATGGGTATCACATTAATTTAAAGACACATTTTATTTGTTTTACGTGCTGTTATATAACTGAAGTTGATTTTAAATTAAAATAGTAACTGAAATTGTTAAGCTATAGACCAAGTCAGTAAATGCCTTCTACAGTTCAATATTTGCTAGAATTACCGAAACAGTTGTTTCTGTACAAACTATTTGGTTATCTTTTTTAAAATTTTGGAATGAATATCATTTGTTAAAATAAAATTAATACATATCAAGAAAAACAGTGACCACAGTGAAACATTCTATAAAACAAGCAATATTTTTGTCATTTTCATATTTATGATTATTGATTGTGTAGATATCTTGAGATTATGTATTACATTTTCCAAGGTATCCTTTTTTGTATATAATTTTATTTGTTTTCTTTGATAAGGAAAGGGACTTAGGAAGTGAATATGGATGGAAACAAGTGCATGGAGATGTGTTTCGGCCACCATCTCAGCCACTACTTTTCAGTGCTCTGGTTGGATGTGGCTGCCAAATAGCTGTAGTTAGTCTAGCTGTGATAGTTTTTGCTATCGTGGGAGAGCTTTATACAGAGTATGTGAAAGTGATATTTAAATGCTCATGTGGACCAGAATGTTTGTTTTTCTCCTTATCAAGAAAGGTTTAGTTTCACATGGTAGTTAAAGATAGATCACTTTTGAAATTGGAATCTGATCTGCAAAAATAATAATCTTAGTGTTCACTACCAAATTTGGCAATAAGTCGCAAACATGTCCATTTTGAGGAAAGTATTTTGGACAAAATGTTGATTACCTAATTAATTTTTCCTTTACATTGGTTTTAACCATTCCATCTGAAAAGCGTTACAGTACAGTTTCATAGGATTACCATTTATAGTTAACTGTGTTCTGAAACAGTGTTTGAAAATGTAAGAGAAATATGGGTTGAAGTTAAAAAGCTGACTTTTACATATTTTCTATTTGGGTTGTTGTTCACTATTTTCACTTCTCTTTAGGAAACTTGAAGAGGAAATTGGGAATATTTGCTGCAATTTAATATGTAATATTTCAATTAAAAAGCTTACTAGTCCTCGACTCGTGCAGATATTTTTCTGTTATAGATCAAGTACTCTGAGGTTGAAATTGGAATTTATTTGTATATTGCTCTAAGTAATTAAAGGTTAATTAGAATTTGTAATATTACAGCTGTGAAATGGAAAAAAACACTAATATGAAATAATTTCAGTCACACCATAGTCTAATTTTATAACAGTGATTTCGATTTGTCATAACTATAGCGTAGAAATGCTGATTATCCTTTATTTATATAGATTAGTGTGTGTGTTTGTGCTGTTATTTATTATTCTAAAATCTTATAGGAAAATAGTGTTTTTTTAAAGTGTGAGAGAGCAATGCCAAATACAATCCTTCATACATTGTTTTTTATGCTTTTATCAAAGTATGTATATTTTTATTTTTCAGGAGGGGCTCCATATTAAGTACAACTATTTTTGTTTATGCTGCCACCTCTCCTGTTAATGGGTACTTTGGTGGAGGTTTATTTGCTCGTATGGGAGGTATGTGTGAATAATATAGTAACACTTTTGTTTTGCACATCTAGCAATGACTTAAACCTTTTTATTCCTTAACTAGCAGAGTACCCAGCATTGCTCGGATAAAAATGGCTTAAATATCATCAGTTGTTTTGATTAAATGAAAAATATAATGTGTGAAAAAAAAAACATTTCTAAATCTATTTAATCAGACTTAGGTACGTTGTTCCTGCTTCTTGCACGCACTTTGTATGACAATTTAATGTTTCGAAAACAAAATTCTCTACCTTTTGGTGTCCTGATTTATGCTGTGTGGCCAAGTGTTGTTTGCAGCATATTCTGACTTGATAACCATTCCATTTAATGAAGAATTGATTTGTTCTCTTCTTTTGCAACACAATGTAAATGAAAATTTACCGGCACCAAGCATTTTTGTAAAGTCATCGTATAGCTGATTCTTGTGAGTACATCGCAAGTAAAGTAAAAGATATGGCTGAAGCAAGCCTATTTAGTTGAGGGAGTGTGCATGCATGTTCAAGAGAAAGCAACAGCTTTTTTCAGTTAAGAGGAGTTAGAGAGTAGGCATATATGTGTAGAAGAAAGAGCACATATGAGGACTCCACAAAATTTTGAACTTGTTTTAACACATAATTGATCATGGATAGAATGATTAGGAGAAGTACTCACGTAGAAAAGAAAAGTAAATAATAGCCCTCTTGATCACACATTACCAAAACAACCTGGTCTTTTCAATTTGAGACCAGTTGGTTGTCCTGTGTGCCAAGAACTGCTATATTGCTCACTTTGGCCTCAATTTGTGGCCACATAGCCCATGTTACTTCCTGCAAAAAGTCTTATTTGTACCTTGAGTTTGGAGTTTGTAGCTTTAAAGATGTGGCCGTGCATAAGAAAGAAACCCACAGAAAGAGAGACATTTGCACTTATATATAAGCAGATTTTGTTAAACAAGACCGATGTCTGTAGGTTTACTTTCTTCTTAGAATTCTTCTCAAGAAGTCGATAAGCTGTCTTAACGTTGTTAGAACAACGGGTAAAAGTTGTAGCTAGTGATGAGTTGGCCGATGCGTTTCGTATGCATTCTGCATCCGTTATCAAGGCTGAATGTTGTGTGAATTGTG